GGAGACTCACCCAATCACATTACATCTTTGGCCTACGTGGAGCCATATCGGGACCCACCCATCGCCCGGGGCCAAACGAGGACCCACCCAATCACGTGGCAGTATGGGCCCGTCCCTTGGTTCTGATACCATGTAGAATTTTTCAGGTCGACGGGCCGAGGGCCCACCCCAACAACACTGATATTGTCCTTAGATGTGGAGTTTTATCACAAAAAGCCTTGATATTAGTTAGAGAAGGGTATTTCTATTTAAACTGCTTTCCTTCTTCCCTCCTAGCCGATGTGGGACAATGGGTGTTCCAACACAAAGTTTGGTGAAAATATCATTCTCGGGCTCTTGTTGCATAGTAAGTTCATTTTAATGTTGATTCCCACAATGATCGCAATGTGACTTAAACTAACGCTCATCATATCTTCAATTTTTTGAATGCACATTTTTCTTTTAGAATTTAGATTTTGAAGAGTCGTAAAGTTGTACAAAAAGTTTTAAGTTCCATTTTGATCGTTGGAGCTCGAGAAAAGCTAGCCAAGGTGACTTCATCTCATCCCCTTTACCTTTAACCATCTAAATCTACTACATCATGCCTTCCGAAGACATACTAATACTGCATAACAAGTACCAAAGCCATTGTTTTGTAGCTCACTTTTGTTTGAGCACGAAAACATTCAATTATCAGCGATGCCAAAGTTTAACTGACAAGTAAAATTACAAAGAGTTAAATACACGTGTGACAAAAGTTTAGTTTTAAATTATGTCGTTGTAATGCAATCTTATCATGGACACAATGACCAAATATTTCAGTTTCTATGCTAAAGCACGTTGATCCAATATTGCAGTTATAAAATAAGAAAATCAGTTTTATCAAAATTACAAGAACTAAAAAGACAAGTTCATGGAAACCGTTGATTTCTCACTTAACAATTATTATGCTGGAAACTTCTTTAATTCTTATTTCACCAATATTTATAAACTCTTAAAAAAATAACTATCCTTCTTTCAAAAATAATATGTTGATAATCATCAATCAGACAGTTTCCCAATTTCTCTTATTTACGTTCTCTCTGTAGTTCGAATCAGGATTGACTGGATAAAGATCATGACCAGACGCATATGAAATAGTCCTTGGCTCTTCAATTGACTCGGTTTGTATCTGGCTCTCACCTGCACTCCCTTCTAAATAGGATTGAAAATGGTTCCTCATCGCATCGATCTCATTACTTGAGGGATTTGGATCTGAGACTAGCTCCTGAACAACAACTCTGCCTTCAAGCATGCTCACAACTGAAGACATAGTAGGCCTAACTGCTGAAGTGACACTAGAGCAAAGGAGAGCCACGTTGATTGTAACCATCATCTCTTTTTTGTTGAAGTTTGAACCCAACCGTGGATCCACTAGATCCAACAAATTCCCTTGCGCTTTAAGGAGAGTTGCCTAGAAACACGAAAGAAACTTTATTGATTCGAGAAACTTGACATATATAAGCTATATATAGTAAAGGACACTAATAACCTTTTTTTTTATTTTTTATTTTGGTGTTATAGACAAAATAAATAGCAAATGAAGCAATAGTATGATGACCTGATTTTGGATAATCATTAAAACTTTTACCCGCGGAATATAAGTCGATTTCTATCTAGGGTTAATAGCATCAACAAAATTTGAAGTTAAATTAGGATGCAGTTAGATTCAAGTTACCCAATCAAGAAGATAAAAGCATTCTGCCTTTGTTCGGTAACTTGTGTTGTTCCTCCCACTAACAATCTCCAATACAAGAATTCCAAAACTATAAACATCTGCTTTATCAGTCAAATAACCCCGCATTGCATATTCAGGTGCCATATAGCCACTGCAAAATCATGAAATCATTTCCCCCATATTTAGCTAAAATAATTCTAAAATAATACCAAGCTTTAGAAAGGAGGGTTTTTATACTTTAATTGAAAGTTTAACAACAATACAATAGCTATATGACAAATCTGGCCTTCAAGTTTATTTAACATCAAAGATCTTGGTTAAGTTGAAATTTTCGTAAGGTAGAAAACTTTCCGTTTGGTTAGGGACGAAAGAATCAAAACAAAAGTAAACAAAGTAAAAACATAGACACTTACAAAGTTCCAGCAATACGAGTGCTAATATGTGTATTATCTTCTTCATCAAGTTTGGCTAATCCAAAGTCAGATATTTTTGGGTTTAGATTTTTATCAAGCAACACATTAGTTGCCTTTATATCTCTATGAACGACCTTCAATCTTGATTCCTCATGGAGGTGAGCCAGACCTCTCGCTATACCAACACAGATCTTGTGCCTTGTTGGCCAATCCAACTTCAAACGACTTTCTCCTGCCCCTTCAATTTTTCAAATTAATCAAAATTAGCCATAACTAACAACATATATAATTTGTGTGCATAAGATTTATTATACCCATCTGCATGAACCAAATGAACTGTAGGCACACAAAAGCAATAGTTACCGAACAAAGCATGAGCAACGCTATTATTTTCCATGTACTCGTAGACAAGCAATAGTTGATTTCCTTCAATACAACATCCGTAGAGGCTAACAAGATGAGGGTGTTGCAAAGCAGAAATCATGCCTATCTCATTCACAAATTCACGATTCCCTTGCTTTGATTTGGAAGAAAGTTGCTTAACAGCAATCATGGTGCCATCTGCTAGAATGCCCTACATTTGAGAAATTAACTTTAATTAGGATGACTATTATTAATCAAATTAAAAAATATGAAAGAAATATATACATGAAATTATTGGTTCAGAAGAATACCTTATAAACGGAACCAAAACCACCTTCGCCAATCTTATTTGCTTTGTCAAAGTTGGTTGTGGCAGCTTTGAGTTGCTTGAAGGTAAACTTACCAGTTTGCAGGTCCACACCCTTTAAATCTGTGTAAGAAGTAAACTCACATAAGAAATTGTGTCTAAAAGAACTTTCAGAATGATAGCATTTCTTATTCTTAATGTTCCGCGAGCACCGTGACTGATTCAAGACCTAGAATTTAACAAGTAAAGCTATTCGCTGCACACTTGCATCATGAGTTTCAACATAAACATATACTGTAGGAGCATCATGGGTTTCAACATAAACATAAACATATATAGCTTTAGGGTGTTTTTTGTTTCCTAATTTACTAAAAAGAAGAGACAAGTAGAAGAACAGTGCAAATACCATCCTCCAATGTCTTTTGTTGTCCTAGGGAGCCTCTCCTCCAAAGAACACTAAGTATCACTAATATAATAAAGATTCCTCCGGCCACAATTCCAACCACTGCACCTACAGATACGCCATTTACACCAGGTGATATGCTACTTCCATTTTTTGTTGAGCTATTGTCGACTGCAAAAAGAAGACCATCTTTGTAAGATAGTAAATGTAAATGTATAGATAAGAAAGTGCATTATCCAACCAGCTACCCAATGCACGAAGAAACAAAAGATTCAACTATTTGGCAGAACCCAAACACAAGTGGATCGTAAATGACATAATTCTGCTGTCATATTTTATGGCTCCTTCAGTGAAAAGGATAAGTTCCTGTAACTACTTAAAATACCCTCAAGTTTGAATTTTGTTGCATTTTTGTGATAGGAAAGTTGAACAGAGAAGATTCCTTCAAACTCTTGACTCAAACAAGGAAAAGAAACAGAAGAAGAAAGGAAGAACCCTGCTAAACTAGAGTCGGATTTCTCTTTTTTAATTTATTTACCTTTTTCTTATACAATGATATATCTACAGGGGTGGGCAATAAATCGGTTGTGAACTCACCATTCAGGAGATCCGTACCCAAGACCTCTCACTTACATGTGAAGAGGAATATCACTAGACCATAGTATTAAGTGACAACTAACTAGATTCGGATCTCTTATAAATTGTGTTGAAATATTAATGCCTAAAATGATATTTGATGCGCTGAAAACTCCCAGCGGTGGACAAATATCAGTAAGAAGTTCAGAGCGGTGTAAACTTACCTGCAGGTTCCACCGAAATAGCTGATATAAGAGGACCATAGACTCCTCTAACAGGGATGCCTGTCGTCCCTTTGCCAGCCCAATTGAAATGGATCTTCAAGGTATGATTAGTTACATTAGCGGTAAAATTTTGTATGACTGGATTACCAAACACTCTAGCGTCATCCATAATATTGAAATTCTGCAGTGCTTGGATATCCTGCAACGTTACGAATTTAGTTACCTAACATTTCATAATTGTCAAAGTAAAAATTTGAACTGACCAAAATTAAACAATCAAAATACAATGATAGTGTAGCTTTCTACCTGAATGTAAATATCAAATACCCGCCTTCCCAGGCTTTTATATGTGTCTCCACTTCTAAACATTAACTCTGCAAAATGGAGTTTTACGGTGTATATTCCATTTTGCAGACAAAACCCAAAGTAAGTTAGAGAGATGGGAGAAACCCGTGCGTTCATGTACAGTTGAGGATCGGCCATAGAGAGTCTAGTTACATTATTCATTATAAAGATGTCCGTAATTTGGTCATCATCAGGGAAGTAACCGGTGCTGCTTAATGCCCAATTTGTTCCGCTCTGGTAAAATGATGAAGCTTCAGCAGAAAATGTGTCATCCTCATATGTTGTATTTTCAATGGTTACTTCTTTACCACCACAATTAATATGAAAGGAGGAGTACATAGCTACAAAAAAAAAAGTAAACAGAGATTAGCAGCCACTGAAGCAACTTTTGAACTCAAAAGAATGGCAACATTTATAATTCCCTTTTGCATGGGAATGTTCGGAAGAACGATGAATGAATGCAAAGCTGCTTGTGGTTGTGGGTCATAAGATAAAAATAACAGAGTATGGCCTTACAAGTGGTCTCCCACTCCCCCAAACAAAAGAACATCAGAACAAATATATCTTGCAGCAACATGTGGGATCCCAACTTACTTTTTGGACATTTTGCAGCTGTGGAACATGAAACTCCTCTGCTCATAGAATAATGCAGGGTCCTTAAAAAAAGGTCAGCAAGATAACATCATAAATGTGAATAAGTTACAAAACAAAAAAACTAAGAAATACACAGTTGGAATGCCAATTAAATTTATAGATGAATCCTTTTTCGAGGATTAATTTGAAACTTACGAACTATTGCTGTCAAACAAGTTCCTGTAGAATCACAAGTTGAAAAGTTAAGCTTGTTCCACCAGACATAAACAACAAAACTCAAGCTAATGAAGAAATTCTTACAAGCCCACCCTTGGTTGACAACTTGTGTTCCCTATGGTGAGGTTGTTAAATGAAAGATCACTGCGCAAAAACGGCTACGATGTAAACTAATTTACAGATTTGATATGCGAATAGAAATAGCTTACTAAGTAATTAAAGAGTAGGAAATAAGATGGATTGACCGTCGTTTTTTATATCAATTCGAGTAGTAGATAACATAAATTTCTAATTGTAGACGTCGTAAATACCTTACTAAGTTATTAGAGGGAAGCATTTGAAAGCAAAGCTTACATATTGCCCATCCGCCAAGCAGGCATGAGTCCGGTCAGCATAAAATTCCATACTAAGTAACTAAAGAGTAGCATTTGGAAGAGAAGCTTACACGATTTTTTTCGACCAAGTAGGCACGGGTCCAGTCAACAAGTTTCCAGTTAAGAATCTAGACATAATGAACATAGAAAAAATCTTTCCGTTAAAAATTATGAAATTATGAGATTTTAATAAAATCTTTCTGTGCTGATAAAAATTACTTTAGTCTAAAGAAGAGTGCGAAATTGCAGTGTACAAATAAATAGTGACTTGAGCCGAATTTCACTTTATTCACAAAACTGCCACCGCCTCTTTACTGCCGTTCAGATTGGAAATTTCAATTTATTTACGAAATTGCCACCGCTTTGCACAGTGGAAGAGGGCCCACGCGTCAATCATCGTGGATTGCTCTGCTCCGACTACTTTTCCGTCCGTTTCCATCCCCTTTTCATTCCCTCTTTTCCTCTCCCGACTCTCTCTCTCTGTAACCATCCATCAAATCCTCCCATCCCTCCCTTTTTTCACTCTGTAATTTCCCTCAAATCCCCCGTCGATTCCCTCTCTCGCCATTCTTAGTCTCGCCAGCAATCTCGCGAGATTAAGGCTGCACACGAGCGGATCCAAAGATCAAACCTGTGATCTTCAAGTCGACACACCCAGAGGTAAAAATTTCTCATTCTCTCTCTTCGATTTCATATATGTTGTTAGATGAAAAGGGAAAATATGAGAACTAAAAGTTAACTCCTAAAATTTCTCATTCTCTCTCTTCGATTTCATATATGTTGTTCTAGCTTAACCTGTGAGTCCTTAATTATAGTAAGCGTGATTAGTAACACTTCCCGCTCGTCAGACTACAGTGTGGCAAAACCCTCTGCCTGAATTTTGTGCAAGTCAAATTGTTATTAAATAAATTTCCAGCTTGTCAGGCTGGGGTGTAACAAAAGTACAAAACCATGAAGAATGTCTGCGTGAATTTCGTGTGATAAAGACTAGATTGGTTATTCAAATTGCTTACATATAATCCACATTTGCTAGGCTAGCGAAGCTGGGTGGAATTTCTCCGGTCAGCTTATTATAGCTGAGGTCTCTGCAACAAATTGCAAATGCAGTTTAGATATGCTCTCCGAGAGGGAAATGCCATCCAAAAGCTGTTCTTTTAGACCATCTCCATCCCATGGGATAAAACTTAAAATGTAAGCTTTAAATTAATAAAAAGATTGGACGGCTGAAAATTAAATCTAACGTTTAAAATAATTTAAATCAAATTTCACTTGAAACATTATAAATACCTATGTATTTGTATGATAAATTATCATAATTTGAATATTTTTAAATTAAATTGTTCATAAAAATAAATTAGGATAATACACGTAAAATTTATTTTATTTTTTTAAAAAAAGTTACCGAAAATAAAAAATTAGGCTAAAGTCATTATTTAATAATCTTGGGCTAAAATTGGAGGAGAAAAGTAGTTTTTGGGTTATGGAGTCTTGCTCTCCTTAAGGTCATTATTTTAAGTTGTCAAATATTTTAAGCCTTTGGATCTAAATTAACATAATCTTGTGGCTAATATATATTTAATCCTTACATGTTCTCAAAACAAGGATCTTAGGAGAGCAGAATTGTTGGGTTATGACTTAAAATTTTTTGGCTTTATCCCCAAGGTTTTGAGATGGTTTTATAAATACAGAAACATAAAGTCCCTCCAACATCGTCCAAGTCATTGTAATAATCTCTTAGTCAGTATAATAACATCTGGAAGAAATTTTTTTTATCTGAAGACGGTAAAAATAGGGACAGAGACGTTTCTACTTACAAAGTATTCAATTTAGGCATTTGCCCGAGATATGGAGGTAGCCCTCCGATAATATTGCAACTCCTCAACATCCTGTAACAGAAACACCAAAACTTTGAGGTTGCAAAAAGATTTCATGTACGGAGAAAAATTGTGTTTCATGGAAGCCTTAACTCACAGTGTCCTCATGTTTTTCATATTGTCGAGCTGAGGGAAGTTTAATTCAGGTCCAATCAAGTCAGTAATTCTCCTGCATGTCAAAATTGAGATATGAACAGAAACTACTATATTGCTAATTGTTCTGTACTTATAAACAGATACGAGATATACTAACAAGTCAGTTAAGCTTGTCAACAGAGAGATGCCGCCAGGAATTTTCCCCGTCAAACCACTACCCTGAATCACACTGTTTTAACAAGTCATAACATTTGAATTAGTGATGATATTGAGAATCAAGTAGCAGAAAAGATGACACCCAAAAGGAAAACACTCAACAGTTTTTCAAGATTTGTCCACTTCTCAATAAATTTAGGTATCTCCCCAGAAAAGTTCGTGTCACCGATCCGACTGCATAGTGATTCGCAAAAGGGAAATAGTTCCAATTAGTCTCAGAATTCAGAAAAAAATTTAGTTGGGTGCTTAGGAAATCTTCAAGAACAAAAGAACAACAGAAGCTTACAAGTCCTTTAATGTGATAAGGTTTGCAAATGAATCTGGCAAATACCCAGTGAACTTGTTTGAAGAAAGAAGCCTAACAATAAAACAGATATAACAATTAGGAAGTGGATGATTTACTGGTGAAAAATACAGCATCTGTCTACAGAGAAGCAAATCCAAACAAACCAAAATATTTTAATCACAGTAAAATTTGAATAAGACAATCTTACATTCTTTCCATGTGTGGGAAATTCCCAAGCTCCTCAGGGAGAGGTTCAGAGAGAAAGTTGGAACTGAGGTCCCTACACAAAACAAAATCAATTCCATTGATCCATTGATTTTGAAAGATCCCTAAGGATATCCATAAAAAAATGTGTAATCATCACTCACAAACTCCTCAGGGTGGTGATGTTTGCAAACTCTACTGGGATAGGACCTGTCAAACGATTTCCAATAAGGGAGCTGCAACACAACTCGTATGTCACAATTAGATTCAGTTTTTATGATTCAAATGGCTCATGACCACTGAAGGGACACAAATATGAAGTAGGAACAACGCCCATGGAATAGCTTCATAGCTTAAGAAATAAATGGCTGAAGAAAACTGAAAAAAAAAAATATTCTAATACAATGAGAATATCACATATGCATAGATGCAGAGCGAGAAAGATAGTACATGTTGACAAGTCGAAGGGAGCCCCATTCTGGAGGGATGGTACCATTCAGGTAGTTCCGGGTGAGGTCGCTGAAGAAGAATGAAAGAAATTAGCCATTGTCTCATTGCAAACAGACATACAGGCAACTTAGATGTGAAAGAACAGATCATTTGCATGACTCCAAGTTCTTACATTTCTTGCAGATATTTGAGCCTGACCATTTCTCGTGGGAGTGTTCCTGGCAACTCCTGAGTTTTCAAAACTCTGCTTGAACACAAATTAACAAAGAACCGTTAATGTGACTATAAGGAAAAGAAAGCACTAAAATACCAAAGGGGAAAGGATGAATGGTGAATGTCCCTAGAAAGAATACAACTTGTATAATTACACAAACAGTTAGGTGTGCTTCTGGTTTTTGTTACTAATAACTATGTTGATACATATTTCTAAGTTTTCAAGGGAAGAATGATGCTCGCATACAGCATAGAGCAGCAGTATGAGTTCTACACACTTTCCACTGCACTGCAAGTGTGCGTGGCAGAGATTATTTCTGCATTTTTAAAACTGCATCAAACAGCTGCATAGAATTGGGATGCGACACTTCCAAATGAACCGGTTGCTAGTTCATAAAATATTTTTAGAAATTTAGATAGAGGAATCTGGAAAACACTATAAATTTCGGGCACAAATGAACAAGAAGGGGTTCTGAGAATTTTTTTTCTAGAATGGATTTGAAAAAGAAAGTAGTTGTAATTGAATAACCGTTTGGAATTATTTGTCTTTTTGGCAACGTGATAGGACAATTTACACTAAACTCATTTAAACTACACAAGGGGAATTCAAACACGGGACTTGGGGTGTAAGGGCGAAAACTTTTAACCAACTTAGCTTGTTAAGAATTGCTTCCGTAGAAGTTCATTTGGATGTATTCAATTATGATTTTAAGTAGTCCATAAAACTATGTGTGTATTCCTTAAAAATAGATTTTAAAGTATTTTAAAAAATTAAGGAATTTAATGGATTTAGAAGAATTTTAGTGTAATTTAGATGTTAAGAAATCAGGCATCGAAGGAATTCACATGGAGTTTATGAAAGTCAACTAAAACTCCATCAAGCTCTATGAATTTTTAACTTTTTAAAACCTTCAAAATCTCAATTAAACACACCCCTAAAAATTTAGATGGGCTTAGAAGAATTTTATAGTGTTACGCTTTAAAAAATCAGGCCTCTCCCCCATTTTCTAGCAATAAAAAAAACTTGTGTATTACTTTTTTTCACTTTTCTTAAAAGCTTGTGTTTACTTTCTTCCACAAACACAGGTGCATTTATGTATCTCTCTTTCAATCGTGCTCCATTTTTTCATGGATAAACCCTAAATCATAATTTTATAAAAATTGAAGATTATTCAATTAGTAAAAATAAAATACTGATTTCAATTAAGTTTAAATATTAATTGTTGAATTTTGTATGAATATATTGTTCAAAAAATCATTTTTTATATGTATGACCTTTTCATTAAATTGCACCAGGACTCCCAAAATATAAGAGATGTCCCCAAGCAGCGGCGATCAGAGATGCTGATCGACTCTCTGGTTTGCATATTTAATATACAGTAAGTAATTAATTATATGTTATGGGTTGTAAGAAAAGCATCGATGGGATATTTGTTTCTTGGGATTGCATATCAGCTTCTTCTAGAAATTGTCTAATGGACTTTTCAGCAGACTTTTCTATCTCCGAGCGGAGCGGGTGTAAGATTCAAAGGCTGTCGAAGTCGCTCGATTAAGAAGGGCTTTCAATTTTGGGAAGGGTACGTGATGTCTCATCTGATGAAGTTAGGCCCATGTTCTTTGTAACCATCATTTAAAAAATTATCTTGAATTAGCAAATAAATATAAACACATGGACTAATTTGCCTAAATTGAAAACACATGAACTAATTTGGCTTAACTGAAAACACGGGAACTAAATCGATTGATTGGTTAAAAACATGGACCATTTAACATTTAAGCCTAAAATCTTCATTCGTAAGTTATCCTTGCAAAACACGAAATAAGTTTGAAATCACTAAACATCTCCCAAATAGATGTCAAAAAGTCCATATCAGCAAATAACAAAAAAAAAAAAAAAAAAATGCAAGGACAATACTTATGTTTTCCAACTGAAATGTCAATTCTTATCTAACTTGACGTTGATTTGCAGCAAAGGTGGTTACTTTCAAATTTGACAACAACTTCAATTCCGTTACAATTGTTGACAATAAATAATGTAATAAATAATAGTTTAAATTGAAATATCTGATAGAGAACAAAACTTTAAATACGATAAAAGTGCCACATAAGCTTTCAAATTTAAATTTTATGTCTAAAATTTGATCTCCTTTTGGGGATGCTTTAAGGTATATAATTTAATTTGACGACAAAAATATAAGGTGCTTCCAAAAAGTAGGAAATTGACCGTCATTTAATCTAGAATGCTACTAAAACCATCACATTTGCTTATTTTCCCACCAACCTTTTAATGAAAATGCTAATCACATATTTATCCTTTTAGCAAAAGCTTTTAATTCCATATTTATATATTTGTTATAATTTTAATTAAACAAACTAAAAGAGAATAAAGAAAAACTAAAACTAACAAAAATAAAAATAAATCCATCACCCTCCCAAATCATCCACGATGGGTTGACGACTATCAAGTCCCCAATCATCTGTCACCCTCCCCAGCCACAAACACCACCCCATTCTCCCTTTGGTATTTGATGGGAGATGGGAGGAGATTCTACCATTCTAGTGCGGGCACTAGGGTAGTGGCAATTAAGGAAGCATGCCGGTTTTAATTTTTTAAATTTTTTTATGATATATGAAATTACACTGTAGGTGTAGAAATAGGACAATGATATGGATCTATCAGCACTCTTAATCTAATGATTATATGATTTTTGATTTAGGTAATCATTTACAAATAATTTGAGTAATCTTTTAAAAATAATCAGAGAGAGAGAGAGAAAGAGAGAGTGGTTTACATGCTGGTAACATGGCAGACAGTGGAGTCGTCAAAGGAGCAATTACAGGTGACGGCACTCTCAAATCCTCTGACTGCCGATATATTAGTCCATGGAAGTTGGCCGCTGCATGGATCTACGCTGAAATCCCAGTCCGTCTTCCCTAGTGTCTTTGCTATGTCAGCTAAAGCTTGCACTACAAAGAATAAAATGGAGCATATATATAGTCAAAATATACAGATTTGTGCAATTAGTACTATAGATGTTACACCATATATAGAAAAAAAAAAATAATATGTAAACAAGAAATGTGAATCATGAATCCAAACTGATATATTATTTTAAGTTTTTATCCATTAATAAGTTTATAAAGTTATAGGATGAAACAAATTAAGGTGATTAACAAGGAAGAATCAATTTTTTTTTAGTACAATGATATATTTTACCCTAAAGGGATGAGGGAATTCTGTTAAGCCACACAATAAGCAACCTAATTTGGTATTAAATTCGCATCTTGTGGCAACCTAATTTGACATGTAATTAAATATATATTAAGGTTAAATGTACAACTTACCTTCATCTTGTGGCAATCGAGCAGCTCCGAAAGCAAGGGCTGCAAAGCAAACCACCAAAAGAGAATGAAGAAGAAGTCGAGGGAAGAACATATTCATCATTATTTTCTTAACAAACTTTGGCATCTGAAGAAGAAAATCAGATGAGTGTTTTAAAGGCAAAGCAAACAGAAAGATGGGAGGGAGTACGTAGGACCTGCATGGACTTGAACAGAAGTCATGTTCTACCTAAATTGCCCTTGGAAAAAGACACCAAAAAAGGTTGGGTCACTTTCAAAAAGGGACTCCATCTTTCAAAATTTTCGCATTACTACCTAAAATATTAAATAGTTAACAATTTAAGGCCGAGATATTAATTTGAAAAAAATTGAAAGTTTAGGCCGCCTTTTAAAGCTGACCCCCACTCCTCTGTTTCCAACCATATATGGCATTTTTTCTTGTTGGAAAAGTTTGTTTATTGGAAAGTTATGCAGCGAATAGTCCGCAAAGACCAGGCTACTATTGACGACCACATATAAAATTGTTTTTATTTTATGTACGCGTCATTTGAATAATTGTTTTGACTAGAACGCGTTATCGTTTTCATGTTTTCATATGCAGACAGTATACCCACCATTATCTTCATTCATTAGGTTCATTAGTTGTGAATTAAATACAAATATTTATATACAAAACCAACCGAACGACCGTAGGAGTATCTTTAATACAAAGATAAAAATGTAGAGCTTTCAATTTCTTTTTCTCTCTTAAACTAGCGGAGCCCTCTTAAAAATAAAGACGTAAATACATTTTGCTTACGTTTTTTGGAAAAAAAATTAAATTTAAATGCTCATTTCGAATAATTTTGCATCTTCCATTAAATATGCTCTGAATGTCCCCAAGAGAGAAAAATTAGGTCACATGAATTAGTGCACATGATTAAATTTAACAAAAAAAAAAAAAAAACTAGCGGATTGTATGTCATAGAAAATATAAATGTGCATTGCAATACGTAAAGGATGAGATTTTTTATGGATTAGAATGTGGAGAACCAAAATAATGACTTTTAGTAACGAAGAAAGTTGAGGGCCTATTATAAAATTAATTGGCAATATGGAAAGTAGCTCAACTTACTTATAAGTTTATATAAGGACATCACTCCTTTAATCAATGTAAAATTCTCTCAATGTAATCCACCATTTTTAATTATAGCAATTCACATTTGCTAACAAGGGGATCTCGGTTATTTTATGATAGAAGTTGAGGTTGCACCATAAAAGTAATTGTTAATATGGTGGAGAGTAGCGCAAATCTTTATAAGTAGATACAATGTCTATTCTTTTTCCAATGTGAGATTCACTCTCAACTTTTTATATATACTAGGCCCGAAAACATTCAAATAGCATTATTAAAACTTAGCTGCCAAGTAATGTATGACAAGTTTTCAAATAGAATATTTTCTAAGCAAATACAATATTTTCTATTCTTTTTCCGAAGTAAAGCAATCTTCTCATCGCAAACAAATGACAAGATTTCAGTTTCTATGCTGAAGCAAGTGATCTAATGTTGGTACTGTAATTATGAATAAGAAAATCAACTTGATCAAATCTACAAGGACTAAAAAGACAAGGTCATGCGAACTGTTAATTTCAAACATAACAATTACATTCTTTGATTCATTTTACAACAATATTTCTACACTATTAAAATGAATATCAATAGAGGAAGTAAAAATGGTTTATGAGTTTGTACGTTTAATGCTAAGTTTAGTTTTGTTGATGATCAATCAAATAGTTTGCCAATCTCTCAATTAGGCAATCTCTAATGAAGAGGGCTAAAAGTCTAAAAACCAAAAAATAACCTGATTTATCCAAAAACTCATCTTTAACTGAAGACTGGGCTATAATTCTATGAAGTACCAGACCATTATTTGGCCAAATAGGCATTAGACTAGCCAAATTTAGCCCCCTCTTGGCCCTTTTTTCTGGGGCCCAAATCCTCAGTTGCAATAATTGATTCAAATTCAACGGTTAGATTTGAAAACATTCAAATGTAGTTTAATTAAATTAACCATAAATTTAAAGTATAAACTTAAAACTAGTAAATATAGCCCCTTTGGTTGGAGATGATATATGAGTATGGTTGGAGATGATATATGAGTATGGTTTGACACTGTTCATTTAAAAATAATATTTGGCAGGGCTATAATTCTGGACGGAGCTATATTTAGAATTTTCGGTTGGAGATGGCCTTATGTTCTCTCAATAAATCTAGATCAGGGTTGACCGGATAAATACCATGGGCAGATGCATCATGCATATGAAGCAGCTAGCCCATGACGACCCAATTTAAATATGGCTGTCACTGCAAAATAGGATTGAAAATATTTCCTCATTGTATCAACCTCATTACATGAGGGATTTGGATATTCATACTCATAATTGAAGACACAGTAGGCCCAACGGTTAGTGAAAATATTGCTAGAAGTTTATAAACTTTCTAGAAACTACATAATATCAACTCATATTTTAGTTAAGCGTAAACATCGGAACGTGATATTAGCGATCCGAACTGTTCATTTTTCTGCATCCGCAAAAAGATCATGTTTTCAAAAAAGAAAATTTGAAAAACCAAATATGGTGAGAAGAATAGGGTGTAAATGACAATCCACGATTAAATATAAATCTAGGGTTTATCTGTTATGGTGTCGGATTTTAGAGTTGAGCCCTTCACGAAAGTTATAAAGTTTGTCATTACGAGTGATTTATATTTTTTGTTTACATTTTTCACACTTCTATATTAATTATTATTAATTTTACAGTCAAACAAAAAACTATTCATGAGGGTTTGGAAGGTTAAAAAATCTAAACAACGACATAACTATTATCTAAGTGTAGAGGGTGCAATCATGAGCGTTTGTATATTCTTTCACATTTTTTTAACTTGTACATTAATTATTATGAATTTTTATTTATTTTGAGCTCCCTTACAAACACAATTCATGAGGGTTTGTAGGGTTTAAAAAATTCAAACGACGATATACCCATTGTCAAAGCATAGAGGATGTGATCACGAATGTTTGCATACTTTTTCACACTTGTAAATGAATTATTGTAAATTTTATAATGTGCTTTGGTTTTAAATTGCTTTGTTTTTTTAATGTGCTTTGGAAATTTTTAATCTCACGTAATGGCTAGTTTGTATATTTTTTGTTTCTTTGGAACAAACAATATTGTCTACATGGTAGAGGAGGTGGGCTTAGCCTCACAATGGGTTAGTAATAATGTGGTTTAAACTCGTCTTTGGCGAGAATCAAACCTAAGACAACCTAAGACCTCTCTTACAAGTAAAG